AACTCCCTTTCCACTTCCTAACCTATTTGAAGCCCATCTCTGTCTTTTATTTTAACTTGATATTTGGGGAATGAAAGTCAGCTTCCAAAGAGTAATGAAAAATGGCGGCATATGTCACAAGCAGGCATTCGCTGAGATTGCTTCCTCTGTGTCGTCTATGCCTCTTCTCAGCAACCAACCCTAACTAACCCCCCACCCTGGAGAACCCCTGAGAAGTGAGAGCCATGAGCTGCATTGGAACAGAGCAAAGCCAGTCTTTCAAGACCTTCACGGTAGGGATACCCCCAACCTGCAGGCTAACACCTGCCACTATCCCTTCTCATTCTGCTCTTCCCTGGCTCCTTGGCTGTGTCCCCTTTCCCCAAAGAGCTGCAGTGTGACATCCATCTCCACCTCAGGTGCTTGTTCAAGTCACGTTCTCAGTGGCTTACCCTGACCACCTTATTGAAAATCACAGAGCTCTCTATCCTGGCATTCTCAAAACTCTTTACTCACTCTGCTTTTAAAAATTGCATTGATCATCTTCTAAAATACCAAATACTTTGCTTTATTTATTATGTTTATTATTTATTATCTATCTGCCTCATCTTGTTCCCAAATTAAGCTCATTGGAGCTTTTTTTGTCCATTGTTCCTGTTGTTTTGTTCACCAATATGTCTAGAGTAGTGTCTGGTTTTTATTAGGTACCCAGTAAATATCTGTTAATGGTTTAATAAATGAATAAATTATCCTTTTGCTTCTTTTGTCAGACACAACTGATAAGAAGTTGTTATATTTATAATAAAATCTCATTCATTAAATATAAAGATCCAAAATATAGCCATCTTATTTTTGAGGTTAAACAATTGCAGACTCTTAAGAAGCTTATAGATTAGACTTGGTTTTTTGTGTCTTGGTTCCATTCTTATGAAGCTTGCTGCCAAAAATTCCCATGGCAGCTTGTTCCTTGTTAAGAGTGCAGGGATATATTTAGAGCACAAAAGCTCTGTGTAAGGATCACTAAATTCAGGTGTATACCTTCTTCATTCACCTCTGTTAGCTCTGGCTCTGGGTCTTGAACTAAATTCTACTGTAAATGTTGCTGCTTTCAAACCCCTTATACAGAAATGTAGGCTTCAACAAGACCTAACTTGAATGACTCCTGGCACTAGGAAGATATTTAGGATAAGGAAGAACTGCCTTTCAACAAGGCTTGCAAATTAAAGAATTATACTTTCTCAGGCTATAGCACCGGAAAATCCCTGCACTAGAGATGATTCAGTGATTATATTTTAGGTATATGTTTTGTCTAGTCCAAAAATGCACTCATTCTATGTACAAGTATACCTGGGCGTATACATCTCTTTTCCAATTTTCTTAGTATCTTTTCCATAATTAAAAATCAACTCTGATGCTGTGAGTTCATTTTAAATCAAGAAATATCTTTATTTTCCCCAAAGGAGAATTGTCTTATGGGTTGTTTTTTTTTTTTTTAATTTAATAGTCTGAAGAAATCCTTAAGCCAAGAAGCCATAGCCTAGGTGTCGGGAGCTGCTAACAATTAAAGCAAAACAATATATTGAATAAAAATGGCTTAATCACCATGAAGCCTGGGGCACCTGGGTGGCTTAGTTGGTGGGCAGCTGGACATCTGTCTTTGGCTCAGGTCGTGATCCCAGGGTCCAGGAATCTGGCCATGTCAGGCTCCCTGCTCTGCGGGGAGCCTGCTTCTCCCTCTCCCTCTGTCTCTTCCCTCTGCCTGTGCTCTTTCTCTCTCTCTCTGTCTCTTAAATAAATAAATAAAATCTTAAAAAAAAAAAGTTATAATCACCATGAAGCCTGGAATGGGAAGGTGTGGGGAGGAGAAAGAGCCCTTATCATTTGTATGTTCATGTTTATTCTTCTAATTCAGTATAATGCATTTAATTCTAGGAGAAGACTGAGAAATTTACCTTCTTTTTTTTTTTTTTAAGATTTTATTTAATTATTTGACAGAGAGAGACACAGCGAAAGAGGGAACACAGGCAGGGGGAGTGGGAGAAGCAGGCTTCCTGCTGAGCAGGGAGCCCGATGCGGGGCTCGATCCCAGGACCCTGGGATCATGACCTGAGCTGAAGGTAGACGCTCAACGACTGAGCCACCCAGGCCCCCGAGAAATCTACCTTCTAATCAGAGTTTAATTCCTAGGTCTGAAACCATGCCTAGAAACACAAGCTCACATTCTGAAAAGCTCATCCCTTGAGACCTGCTATGATAGATAGACAAGATCTATTTGACTCTTTCCTTTGGAAAGATCCAAGATTATTTTCCAGGTTCTGTGATCTGTGAGCTTTTAGCTGTGTTGTTTCTAGAACCCAGTGCTGATAAGGCCCTGAAAGTGGGATCACAATATAGGGGACTTGGTCTGTTTCATGGGCCTACCCCAGCCAGGCTCTGGGGAGGTAGATAAGCTGCGATCCATTCCCAGCTCTGTTCCTTTGTAACTGTGTGGCCTTGGAATTCATCTGAGCCTCCTTTTCCTCACTGGTAAATTAGAAATAACAAGGACACCTGTATAAGATAAATCAGTAATAGTTCTCAGTAAACATTAGCTATCAATATCCACATCTTTTAATCCTCACAACATTCCTACAACAATTCTACAATTCCACAAAGAATCTACATCCCTCCCTTAGACATTATCAAATCAAGGCACAGGACAACTTGCTCAAAGGCAGAAAATAAGGGGTTAAGCTAATTTAAATATAGAAAGGCTCTTCCTCCTCCTTCCCGGACAACTCCTTTGAAGCTATTTGATTTTAACCCAAGAATTTCTTTCTGTCTGTAGGTTGAGAACATGGACTTTAATAATTTTCATTTCTCTGTGTTACTTACCAAGGGTCTGGGGCTGAAAGTCAGCCCCTATCTTGACCCTGAAGCATCAGTTTTTTGCTCTAAAAGAACATTCTACCCTGGAGATCTGAACACGTAGCTCAATACTAATGTTTGTACAAAGCTGAGCTAGTTCCTGGGAACCTCTGTAACATATATTTGCCCCTGGGGTCACTAATGGCAGAGAGATCAACAGTTAAGTGGGAGCTAAGTGAAACATTTATAGGAGATGGAGAAGGAACATTACAACTGGGGCCACATCCCTTGGGGCATATACAATTCAGCTTTATTTCAGAGTGCAATTCATCTTTCTGTATTTTAAAAGACATTATGCTTCAAACATTTTATAGTGTTTTAATGGCTCCCCAAAAGGGAACTCCTAAGCCTGCTTTGAATGCCTCCTGTGTGCTTAGCACTATGTTTGGGACCAGAGAGGGTCCATTCTTGACCATGACTGTGAGCTAATAATTGAGTGGAGACACCTTAATAACACAGGACAAAATAAGAACTGCAAAGAATATGCTAGCAATGTGGACCTTTGTTCTCCCCGAGGCTGATAACCGTCAGGCAAACAGAAAGACCTTCAATCTGAGGTGGTTATTTTGAACAAAAAGAATGTGCTGTGATCAAACAAGAAAAGGGAACAACTTATTCTGATGGGGAGGCTTGGGGAAGGCCCCATGGAAGAAACAGTCCTGGCCTCAAAGAATAAGTAACATTGTAATCGAGGGCTACAGAGACAGCTTGAGCAGAAGGCAGGGAAGTGGGTGAGGAGACTGAACGTCCAGATGACCAGGAGCCTCTGCAGTTAAGCGTGGGCTCCCTACAGGCAGCGGTGGAAGATGAAGGGTGAGGGTAAGTTGGAGCCCTTCTGGAAGGCATAACTGACATGGAGTGTGTGTTCTATTTTCTGAATAATTGGGAGGCTCCCGAGGAGCGGGGTAATCTATTCATTTCACTATTTTGAAAAATAATTCTGGAGCTAACGCAAAGGATGAATTTAGGGGGTGAAACTGGAAATAGGACCATCAGCTAAGAAGTGTGTGCAGAAGGCACAGCTGTCAGCCAGGGATGAGGCCATCACCACGACGTTGCCCAAGAAATAAGAGAGCTTTCTGAGGGGGCCAACGGCTACTCACGGGGACAATAATTTGCTATTGTCCATGGGGAGTGGGGAGAATCGAAAGATGGGATGAAAGAATTGGTGGGTGTAGCCAGGGTATCTTGTGAGGCGATGACAGGTACCAGGTTCCCTGACAAAGCTGGAGTTAGTGGAAAATCTCATGTTTTATGGCCCTGCTCAGCTGCATTGCAATAATGGCATTTTCCAAATCTTTTCAATATTACAAAGCATAATATTCTATTTTCACAGCACAAATCTACTTGATAAAAGCAAACCATTCAAGAGAGCTTAGAATGTGCCCAAAGGAGGCCACACCAATGCTGTCTATAGCTTGAACTTGTAGCGGAGGCAAGACTTGATCTCTACCCACTTGGGTGTTTAGCTGGGACTCTAACAAAAAGGCACATTAAGGAGAAAAACAAACAGAAGTAGAGTAACATGTACATTTCATGTACATGTGGGAGACACCCAGGAAAAGTAAAACTCAAAGAGGTGGTTTTAGAATCCTGAATTAAATATCGCTGAGTAGGGAAAGGGGAGGGGACATAGGCCTCTGAAGGGAGAGCATCTGATCTTTAGGAAGAATAGATGGGAAGAATATTGTGTGATCAGGTTTGTCAAGGTGCGGTATCGACTTCCGGTCTCGTCTCCAGCGCTGAGTCAGTGCTCCCTGATCAATAACACTCCTGGGAAAGGGATTTATGACAGTTCTTTTGGAGCATTTATCTCTAGACAGATTAGGGTTGTTCAGAGACAGTATCTCCTTGCATTTACCGTTTTCAAATGTTTGCAGTTCAAAAATCATCAATATAGCGAAGTAACAGATTTTGGGGTGAGTGTTCTGCCACCCTTCAAGCTAAAGGTAGCCTGGGAATGATTATGTCAGACGCCCAGAAAAAGCCATTAGAAGAGCAATGCCTTGCGCTGCTTTAAGGAAGGTTATTCTGAGCCTTATCTGTTTCTCTGAAAATACATTTCACCTCTCTCATTTTCTCTTTCTTTTTCTTCCTCATGCCTACGCTTTTTAGAGGAAAAGTCCGGTAAGAAATAAGTCCTTTCCACATTTTGGCCAAACATGACTTCTGTTCATTTTCATCATCTGCATAATGACTGACTGTGTTTAACACCTAAACAAGATTTTGAATTTTAAAAACAAACCTTTGTGAACCAGGACAAGGTCTAATTATGCCCCATGGGGAAAAAAAGGAAGTTGGTTGCTAAGTGATGTTTACAAGTCTGTTATGAAGGGCCACGGTGTAATTTTGTGAAGATTCACCTCTGCCTCCATCACAGGCATATGATTAAATATTTAAGGTATTGAGTTTCATTTACTGCATTTTCCACTTGGATTACTCAAGCTACCTATACATACCGTGAGCTAGGCAAACATTCTTTTAAGTTAATTTCTTGTTTAATGCACAACATGATAGCATCTATGAATGAAAGCCTGTGAAGCTGGCCTAGAAGAGGGAAGTTGTCTTTCTTCTTTTGTTTTTCAGCTAATCAGAAAAATATCCCCTTCTGGAGTTGTCAAAGAGACAGAAAAATAGGATCTTTATAAAGTGCAAAGCAACTCTTTCACACCCCTTTTTAGTACCAGTGGGTGATTTTTAATGGCAGCACAAATCTGCTGCGATGTACCTACATTTTTTTTTTATTTTAGGACAACAATGAAATAGATCTACTAAAAAAAAAAAAAAAAAAAGGAAAAAAATTTCAATGTTCTCTTCCCAGTTGCCTGGTATATTGGGAAAGTGTTCCCAGGATGCCGATGCTCACAGGTAACCTCTCCACCGAATATCATGGAAATACTGTGTTTCCATGTTAACGAGCACCAAGGAATGGTTGGTGGTTGGTTGTACTTAACTCACCTAAGTGGATGCTGCAGTAAACTTGTCATCCCGTCCACTGGCCTCTGCCTGGTGGTCTCCATACCACCTGCAGGATACCCGACCTGTGGCAAGTCCGTGTGATGGGAGGGAGGAGAAGTGGAAGACACAGAAGAACAAAAATGGGATCAAAATACTAAAATACACCAAAATACAAACCCAAAGTCTTTTGGTTTCTAAAAATAAAATAAACACATTATTATTATTATCACTATGGCTACTACTAAACTGAACGGCCTGCTTCTGAGTAACTGAGAGTCATCTACATATCACGTGCTATGTGGCATACAATTTTGGTGGTTTGCTCTAGTAGCCTTTCTTTATATTTTGCCAGTTGCACTTATTCCTGACTCTGAATCTTTCTCTAACTTATCCAAATTTGGCCACTTCAAAAATTGACTCAATTGGGTGGCCTGAAGTCTACCTCCAGGACCTCAAAAAGGCACTGTTCCTCATGGGTTTTCCCCTGTTGTCCTTACCGCAATTTTAACTGCAAGTAATCCTTGTCATTTTGATCTGTGTGTTTTTAAGGATGAGTCCTCCTCCCACTCCCTGACCTCATTTTCCTTTGGAAGTGTCCATCTTGTTGATTGCTCAATCTGGTTGAGTCTTAATGATTATCTTGGTTAGTAGTGGGCTCTTTGTTTCTCTTCCCAAATGGAGTTTCAGAAGATCATCTCAACCAAGTCCCATTGGACATGATAGGTATTCACTGTAATCTGACTTGTAATGGATACAGGAACAAATTTAAATATAGACAAACTCCTATAAGGGATGGGGGTAGAGGATAAGACCTTGCCAGGTAGCTGGCCTTCCCCATCAGCATTTAAAAGCAAGTAAGGAAATGGGCTGGAATAAAAATAATACGCATAATGATCACATATTCTAATTCTTTCCTAGAAAATTCTCTAACATGAATCACTGAATTTGCTATGACTAGCCTATATAAAAATATTTTGTTTGGTGCTTGGTAGCTTTTCATGCATTTTCCTCTGATTCCCCATAGCACTGAATTTAGCATGTTGTAAAACGTCAAAACCTGAGGCTGACTTAGTGATTTTGATGAGCAAGACAGATTGTGTTTGGTTACTTCTTTTTATAAATATCTTAAAACACTTACTCGCATTGGCTAAGACTAAGGTATCCTAGTAGGCTGACTTAAAATTAATCCTTTTGTGCAAAAAATAACAAAGCAAAGCTGGTGTGGAATAAGGACACTGTGGAACTATGAGGACATAGGCTGAAATATTATCTGAGGGAGGCATATTCATATTGCAAATTATATACATTCTAGAAATACAACATGTTTTAACAGAAGATCTTCGTTCTAGTGACCAAATTATAAATTATTAGTGTACACCCACCTTGAAAGTAACCTCAAGATACAAAGTAAGAGTTACCTCTTATTTGAACACCAAAATAGAAGTAGAGGGAATAATAAATATTTCCAAAACCTTTTCCAGAATGTACCAGAAGATCAAGAGAGATCTAGGAATTGAGCAATTAATATTTAAATAGGAGCACAGGAGATTTGTTCAGAAAAGGAATAGACCAATTGCAAAGTCCCTGTTCGAGTAATCAGGTGAAGTAATAAGAACAGTAGGTAAAATTTACTGAGAGCTTATTATATGTGATACAGATGTCTGCAATCAGAGGCAAATTGGCCACCTGCAGATTCTGAACAACTGAATAAGTGTTTTGTTTGCTTGTGCAGTTAAAAACAACTTTAACCCCATTTAAAAACCAGAATGTTTGAAATTAAAAAAAAAAAATCAGGATGTGCTGCTTCTCTCGACAACTTGATCTGGCAGCCCTAGGCCCAAATTTTTTGCAAGGCAGACATGGGTGCACTTGAGTAGTGTTGAGTTCCCCAGAGCTTTGTGAAAGACACATGCCTTTATCAATAGCACCCCTCTCCTTGCCCTGTGCTCATCTGAGTTTGTCACTCAACGCCTAGTGTTCAGCTTACTGAATATATCAAGACCGGGGGCCACCTGGGTAGCTCAGTCAGTGAAGTGTCTGATTCTTGATTTGGGCTCAGGTCCTGATCTCAGGGTTGTGAGATTGAGCCCCACCTTGGGCTCCATGCTGGGCATGGAGCCTGCTTGAGATTCTCTCTCTCTCCCTCTGCCCCTCCCTGCCCCCTCATCTCATGCTCTCTCACACTTTCTCTCTCTCTCTCTCTCTCAAAAAAAAAAAGAAAAAAAAAGAATCTAAACTAGAATGTACCAAGACCGGATACAAATGACTTTCCTTCCACCTTTGAAGCAAATTCTATATATTGGTAGAACAAAGATAAAACGCTAAAGGCTTCAAAGATCTTGGAAAATGAGAAGAGAAAGTAAAATGAAAAATAGGTAAAGACCCTCCTTTCCTGGCTCTTACAGATTTTGCTGTCAAAACTGTTGTTCAGCAGAGCCTATAACTGCTTTATGCACCTTAATGGTGATAAATAACATATACGGAGCCCTTCAATTTGACGTGTAGAATTCTTTTTCTTTTGAAGGTTTCAAATAGCTCTTAATTATGGACTTTGAGGATTTCTGGGTCTGAGCTCTCCACAGCTTCTAGCTGGGACTTCTGGGTTCATGCTTGTGACTGCATGAATTTGAACAGCTTTTCCCAATGAAGAAGGCATTTTACAAGTGGAGTTTCCAAAACGCGATCTTTTTTTTAGTTCAGGTTAGTTAACATACAGTGTAGTATTGGTTTCAGGAGTAGAATTTAGGGATTCAACACTTACATCTAACACCCAGTTTCATCCCAATAAATGCCCTCCTTAATGCCCATCACCCATTCAGACCATCCCCCCACCCACCTCCTTCCAGCAAGCCAAATGCTGTCTTATGATGTTGTCTTTCGCTAGGAAAAAAATACAAACAGGAACTGTTCATTAAAAATATAGGTTTTTAAGTCACTGGAGATTAAAAGATGGCTAATTTGGGTAGACTGATATAACTTAAATTATTTTGAAAAGTGTTCTCTCTAATCTTAAATTAATAAAGTTTCTTTGAATTTAAGGTTCTGCCTCTATGTGGGTATGATCGGCATTTCATTTTGCATTACTTTTCATAATTTCATCTTAGGGAAATTTGTGTCACTTTCATTCCTCTCTTTGCTGTAGTTTATGCTACTTTTAAAAGTGATTTGTTTGCCATGAGATTGAAGTTAAAATCATAAATTCCCACATTTTCTTCTTAGAGAAGAATTTTAGTCTGGTCATTAAAAGAATTATAAAGTCTAAATGTTCATATAAGATACTGAATTCCTCTCAAAACATAGTATGAATTAGTAAAAGAATTTAAGCCCAGAAATACATATTCATAAATGTTTTTTTTCTCTGATTTAAATAAATTACATCCACCCATATCAACAAAGGTATAAGACAGGTGGGAACAATATAGAGTAGAACCTGGAAAATCAGGCAAATGAGAAAGTCTAAAATATTAGAAATAAAATTGACTAGAGTAAATAGTTTCAAAATAACGAGTTCTGTTACACAACATTCAAAACAGGAAGTAACCATTCATGGTTCTCTGCTTTAGGAGTCCTCCAACAATATAATGCAAGAATGAGACCAGCGATCCAAACTCTGTCTCTGGTTCTACGCATTCACTAGCTGTGGGTCTCAGAGACTCACTTCCCCCTCTTTATCAATAGGCCATTGGTCCAGATATGCTTGGAGGCCTCCCAGGTATAAAACACTAGAGGCTTGTTTCCTGTCTATGTTCTAGAGTAGAACAGTCCTTCTCATTTGAGCAACCTTCTAGAGACTTACGTGCTTGTGCTCCTGGCCTGGATTTGGGGTTTGGGGCAATACTGGATCCCAGGTAGCCTTTAGTAACTTCATGGGGTAGCCCATATTTTGAAAACAAAACTCTAAGCAACATCTCTTTCCCCACTCACATGATAGTCACTCTTGCTACTTGCTACAGAAAAATCCTGAAGAGGGAGAGTAATCAGAGATTGTTGGGGTAAATTGACAGCAGCCATAATCCAGGTGGGAGAAGTGAAAGAGAGAAGTCATATGTCTGCTAGTTGTGTTATTCCAGACATCATCTGGTCCACCATTGTTCTACTGATGGTGGACAGTTTGCATTATTGCCATCCGTCCTTGTCAGGGGCTCCTCATCTTCCTCACCATGTCCCTACCCTTTGGTAGAGGCTGCCCAAATCACCAAGCCAAAAAAAAAGTCCTCATCAGCATTCATTCCATAGTACATCAAAGAGAAGAGCCAGGCAAAGAGGTCTTTCTACTCCTGCTCTCTGATTTGGGGAGGCTCCAATTTAGTCCAAATTATGTGGGAAATGAATTATGTTTATGGCATTTGCTCACACCCCTTTGTGTGTGGAAATACTTTTCTCTGTCATACCTAGTCTCTAAAACCTCCTCCCCAAATAATCTGGAGAGAAATTCCTTATAACAAAACATTAAAAGCTGTCAGTGAAGTTTTCTTGGATGTTTCTTTCTTGTTCTTGTATGCACATCGCTGAAATAGTGCACCCCATTAGCAAAGCTATATCATACCACAGATCGCTTCTTTTTAAGGTTCTCCAAACTTCCTTATGGTTTAAATAAGCCACAGGCATGATGACTGCCTGTTTTCCTTTGGCCTGGTTACTTAAAGAGTGTATGTTTGGTCGGCTATTTATGAAGTCCTCTATTACCCAAGCCTGTTGACTGATCCATCATTCTCTGACTAGGTATCTGTTCTCTCTTCCTTTTTGCTGATCACAGAGGCGCAGTCCGGTAAGAACCCTTAACATTTTTACCTTAAACATGTATAGAGAAAATTGTTGCCAAGGCAAGGTAGCCAGGTTTGGATTCCCCATTAAATTTATGATAACTCTATGAATGAAGCAGATGAATTAGGTTTACTGGTTGGAAGCCTCTGGTCCTATAAGCATCAAGAGTATGTTTTAGAATTATCAGAACACTTTTCCATAACAAACTAAATTAATACATAGATATCCCAACCCTAGTGCTAGACTTGAAAAATGTGTGTGTGTGGGTGTGTATGGTGTATATACAAGGCCTGGAGGTTGGCCAGAAAGCACATAGAATGACAATAAAAATGAGAAAACTATAAGGAAAGTAAGGAAACAATTTTTAAGCCACATTGTTTTCAAGCCCAAATTTAAAATAAGTTCCTGGACCATAATTTACATTGGTCAGTATACTGATATACTGATACTATATAATAACATATAATCATAATTTCCATCTTGGGAGGAAGAGACATGTTTTCGGGTCAATACTCCTAGGCTGTCACATAAATCTATTATTTCACCACCGAAGTCTAATCAGTATTAGTTTGCATTGCTCAAAGTGAAATCCCAGTCATTTTACTCAGGGTGAAGAGTCTGCTGAATTTAAAGCAACAAAAAGAAGGGTCTTTACTATGTTTGAGTTGACCTCCCCTCTGCCTTGAGAGAGGAAATGGAACTGAAAACAGTGCCCTCAGAAATGCCCTCCATGGGCATATGCCGATTTGATTGATCATTATGTGAGGCCACTCGTCTGCCCCAGCTGACAAGCTGGTGGTTCTCTGTTTACACCATATAGCCAATGATCAAAGATAACACCTCCAGGGACTGCTATTCACATGTGGATGATTTCTCCCCAGCAGTTAGGCCACATGTCAGAGTATGACAAGTTACTCTTTTTTTTTTTTTAAAGGAAAAAGAGGAAATTAATTCAAAATGAAGGTGATTGATTTACAACATACATATAAGGACAATCATTGAAAAGAGGAAAAATGTGGTCCTTTGGAAAGGAGACCATTTTTTAATTCAATGGGCTTTTTCCTGACTGGTTTGTGTGGTCGACATAACCTTGACCTTGTTCTAGATTTGCCATGCTGCAACTCCAGGTCATCAGAGAGCCATGTGCCGGATCCAGCTGACAATGGCGATTTTCTTGTCTGTTGCTGCTGACTTCCTGCTGATCATTCGTATTATTTGTTCCTTTCTAAAGTGATATTATTTTATTCTTCCTAATCTCTCAACAACAGAGTTTTCTTGCCATATCTTGCTTGCACTTAACCGGTGATTGTTCATTTATGAGGAGCATTTTTTAAAAAATTTAATTTAATTTAATTTTTAATTTTATTATGTTGTTAGTCACCATTCAGTACATCATTAGTTTTTGATGTAGTGATCCACGATCCATTGTTTTCGTATAACACCCAGTGCTCCATGCAATACGTGCCCTCCTTAATACCCATCACCGGGCTAACCCATCCCCCCACCCCCTCCCCTCTAAAACCCTGTTTGTGGGGCGCCTGGGTGGCTCAGTTGTTAAGCGTCTGCCTTCGGCTCAGGTCATGATCCCAGCGTCCTGGGATCGGGCCCCGCGTCGGGCTCCCTGCTCAGCGGGAAGCCTGCTTCTCCTTCTCCCACTCCCCCTGCTTGGGTTCCCTCTGTTGCTGTCTCTTTCTTTGTCAAATAAATAAATAAAATCTTAAAAAAAATAAATAAATAAATAAATAAATAAAACCCTGTTTGTTTCTTAGGGCATTTAATAAGAATGTTACCCGGCCTTCTTGCTTAGCGCCTCTCCACAATAAATACCTATTGAATGCATGGATACACCTGGAACCAATAAGTACAAAATAAGCCTTGTACCTTCTTTGGCTTCATAAGTATTACATTTTTAATAAAGGGGGTAAGAGAGAGAGCCAAAAGATCTTCGATACTCTGGGGTCCCCTATCTCTTGGGTTTCAGGTCTCATAATTCTAGATGGATCCCATTCCCTCATGGCCAACCTTGTGATTGACTATTTGGAAGTAGAGGCCCCAGTATCTTTATTACACACCCATAAAAATCTGACCATCTGGGGCTCTGAAACCTAGAAAAACATTTTAATTCCATTTAGATGATTTGTTCTCCTATTTTTGTCTACAGAGCCTTATTTTCCAAAAGCCAGCCTGTATCCAAACTCCCATGCTAATGACTGTAGCTGATTTAAATGACCATATTTAATTTAAATGTTTATTAAGTTAAATAAACATGTTAACTTAAACATATGAATTTAAAATGTGTATTCATTAAAGTAAATAAAATAAATATCTATTTTAAAAATCTTTACTAATAATGGAATAATTCTCTATAATGGCATAGACACACCGATTGTGTTATTAGGCAAGACAAGCCAGAAAATATAGTTCGAAAGATTGAGCCATTCACTAGAAAACATCTAGTGAGTTCTTGCTCAGATTGAAACTGCCCTTCTATTGTAAATGAGTTCAAAATGAGACAGGAAGTTCTGATAAGTCCTAGGAAAGAAGGTAAGAAGTTTCTTCCAGGCCTGTTACAGAGGCACTACGTCTTGTCCTGTGTTGTTAATGTTATCATGTGAGAGAAGAGAACGTACCTGCGACCCCCGACTAAGCACATGGTCACACCCTCTGAAATACTTCCCTATACTTGCCCTTTCCCAGCCCCAGCACTGGCCCCGCCATTCTCTTAAGGCAGGACCTCTCCAGCCATGTCCCACCCCATGATGCCACCCTTCCAGTGCTCTCCTTTTCTGGTAGCACCCCATGCTAAGAACCTTTCAGAGTGGTTTTGAATCAGATTTTTTATCTAATCAATCTTTCTGTGATGGAAATAAATTTCTGCTAAGGTATTATAAAAGACAGGCATGAACTTCTCAAATAATTCCTGCCAGGGCTCTTTGTATTCCTACAGTAGCACAATGCCTTGAGCTAAAGGAATGACTGACTTCCAGGTGGCAGAGAGGTGGGTCCTGTGGCAGGCAGGGGGAGTAAATTGGGGTGGGGAGGGCACCTGGGGAGAACGGAATTCCCTGGCCCCCTGATTACAACAGCCCATCCAGGGGCAATGCCTCCAAGTTTTCCTTCCCTTTAACATTTGCTGCTTAGATCTTTACAAATTACATTAGTAAAATAATGACTGTTTTTACTGACAATTCATGGACCGCCCCACCCTGATAAAAGCAGACAATACTACTAATACAGTCTATAATTTTCAAACATCAAACATATGTTAAGCTTGGATTTAGTTCTCTGATAGACTTCAAGGTTTTGTTTTTTTTTTTTTTAAATAGACTATTCAATGTTTGCTTAATTTACCAAATCTACCCAGGTAAGGGGTTTTTCTGGTTCAGAGACTTATGATTTACCCTCCATTTCTCTCTGTAATCCCTGAGTAAAACGAAAAACTGATTTATATGTGTTTGTCTACAATTTCCAACTTGAATGCAATTCTGAGAAAAATTTCATTTTTCCCCATCTGCATTTCTGAGTTCAGTTGAATTGCAATGACAGAAATATACATATTGTACATAACATATATGTGGTCTTAAGCCTTATAGTGTCTATTTCTAATTCTAGGGTGCAATTAAAAGGAACTTATCCAGTAAGTATATCCTAGCTACCAGAAATAGAATAAATTTTAAAAGAAGAAATAGTTCCTTGGATCTTGGAGTATACATACATATATATATGTATATGTATGTATTATACACTCTTGGGCTTGATTTTTAAGGCTCATGAATGCTTTACTTTTACAGCAAAGAAATTTTGTAATGATAAAGGGGCCTCATGGGTTCTGAATGATTAATATTTAAATTCTGAAAATGAGTATGTTTTTGGAAAAACATTGCTATCTTCTTCCTTTATTTATCAACCCTTGATGTATCATTTGCCTTTAGAAATGAATTTAATCAAATGTGGGTTTGTTGAGGGGGGAGGGGAGAGGAGAAGGGCAGAAGGAACTGAAGATAGATGCAACTAACCCATTCATAATGTTATCTGATATAAAAATTGTAGTCAACCAAAGTGATATGATACGGTTATAATTTACATAGGGCATGATTTTTCTCTGTGGCATATAGCACATTCTAGCAAATTCTAAATTCATATAACATTTTCTTGGCATTTCAAGAAAAGAACAGGCAAAGAATGCTGGATTCCTGTACTATGTGCATATGGCCTGGCTTAGTATTCTCTTATGGTAATTGGAAAGCGGAACTGCTCAAGGCGGCAGACGTTTGAAGAATGGTAGGCTACTCCGCTAAACTCTGCAATATACAACTCTTCCGTGTAACAGCTTATCATGGTAATTCCTTGGTTGATTAGGCTTTACAAATGCCAGATCAAATGCTACTACTTATGTCTGATATGTGGCTGTTAAATTGCAGGGTAGAGGGTTTGTTTTGCAAAATTTTCATATTGAGTTGCTTATTGATGGGACTTAAATCTCTAAGTGTTTCCAAACATAGCTCATAAGACATATCAGGAAGGAATAGTAAAAGTATGCCTAAAAGCTTTCTTTGTCCTGTACATCAGGTGAAGAAATGGCAAGACCCAGGCGTTCCACACCAACTCCAGAACTTACAAGGTGAGCATGGAAGGCGTTAGTTGTGTTTTATGTAAGGCTTCATGCAATGTTAACAATTCAGCAAATCTCCTTTAGGCTGAACTTTCAACTTCTATTAATAAAAGCTCTGTTCATATGTAAGTCCATAGCATGATTCAAGTATGTTATCATTTCTCACAAGTGCAGCCTGAGGAAGATCCTTAGGGGGAAGAACTGTATAGTCATCTAAAGTGACTGTCTATCAGAATGTGCAGACCCCTCACTAATGGGAGGGTTAAAGTCTGTATGAAGACGACTTTTGGTGTTTGCAATGCTGATCTGATACATGATTATATTGCCCTATAAAGAATAACCTGTTCAGTTGGCTCCAATTTCGTGATACATTGCACCTGTCATACACCAAAAGAATCTTCTATTTGTTTTTTTTTGCTTTGACAAAACATTGTATTTTTGCACTGTGTATTCTTTGGGTTAAGTACTGTACAAATGGGCATTGTTTTCCAAAAAGACTACTATTTCTATTTAAAAGGTGGATCTTTTTCATTTTCCCTCCTTCTCCAGCCCCACTCCCCCTTCACCTCTTACACCCACTACACACACACACACACACACACACACACACACAGAGAACTCATCAGGATCAATGAGGGGGATCAGGTCTGGGAAGAAATGAAGATTATGCAGGCTTTTGTTAATAATCAGTTTAAGTAATAATTAAGAGAAAGGGTAAGATTTTAACTTATTCCCTCCTTTCCCCTTGATTTCTCAATGTTCTTTTTCTGAGATAAGCTGTGTTTAAGGTGTTAGGAGGTTATAGCTAGTCTATTGTGTTTGTTGGTTAGGGAGACAGGATGGAAATTAGAAACTAGTAGACCTAGTTTCTGATTCAAACACAAACTTCCTGGGTGGCTTGTCATTTAACCTCCCTATACCTGACTTTTACTAATCACCAACCGCATTAACTACAATACAGGGATGTGATGAAGACAAATATAAATGGTTTTTGAGATCCGAAGAGACTAAGGTGCTTTGCAATAAACTGCTATCTCTAGTATTATCTCTTCTAGGTATAGAGAATCATGATGATTTGAAAGAGTTTTTCTTTTTCAACTCATTTCTATTGGGCCATCTCCTTGGTTTCCCACTGAGAACTGGGGATCTTATCTCCTACTAATTCTCTTGGTCCATAATACATTTGACATTTTTACGTATACTTTCTAGCCCCATGGGAGCTTCCATTCATGCCTGTGTACACACACATCTATCTGCCTTACCATGAAAAATATTCGAAAGCTTGTATATCTTTTTAGCATTAATATTCCCTTTCTCTCTGTTTTGTTTTAATCTGTGTGATTTAGCAAAAAGCCTACAGATGACACGATGGCCCTTGCTCCCCTCTTTGGTCCACCATTAGAATCAGCTTTTGAGGAACAGAAGACAGAAGGTAGGAAAAGTGTGTATCTCTATAGATTGTTTTCTTTTCATTGAAGTATAACTCGCCTAGAGCAAAGGTATGTGTTTTGAGCCATGTCCCATCAGATCCTCAAGGGAAAGAAAAGTTCTGATCTAGGTGTGCTGTTGGAACAAGAGTTTCATTTGAAAACCTCCAGTATTTTAGGATTTGAAACTTTACTTCCGGAAATATCAAGTAGCTAACAAGTTCACTCCTCAAAAGCGGTCAGTAAGAATTACTGCAAATGGATACAAATCACTGGGAATAAGTCAGGGAGTAAGTGCTCTGTGAGCCAAACGGTCATCATGGTGGAGCCAGACCTTCACACTCCCTGGCAGAGTCACTGTCACGGTGATCCAACCTCTCCGACCACATTTACTCTCTTCTTCACCTGGTGGGTGGAAGTGTCAATTGGATTGCTCACAACAGACTTGTTTGCAGGCTCGAGACCCAGGAATGACCTTGAATCACTGAGCAACTTACAAATAAAATGTTGCAGGAAAAATATCAATTCAGCCATTATTATTGGGTTTACCTACCAAATATTTCCTCCTAGAATGAAATATTTAACTTTTTAAAATTAACCATCTTTTTTGGATGGCTATAAATAATATATACCTTGCTGACAAAAATGAAGCTCCTTATAAAAGGGATCCAATCTATTCCTGAAATGTATTAATGTCCAGTGCATGTATCTCTGGTAGCTGTGTTTGGTAATACAGAATGTTTTTTCTGAAAAGTCATTTGATCTAAAAACACTGTGGTGTGTGTATAATAAAATGTTATTTTTTATACTGTTGGTCAAAGAAATCAAGTTTAACTGTTAAGGACAACAGGACTTGAAAGCATAATGAGTGGACTGAGCTACAGTAGCAAAGAGACTCCAAAGTACAGGGACCTAAACAATATAGAATTTTATTTCTGTTTTATGTCAACAATCTCAAAGTAAACAATATAGGACTGGTAGGGTGGGTCTGCTATTCTTAACATGTGGCCTTTGTCTCTGGGTCCAAAGGAGCTGGTCCAGCTCTCATCATCTCCCAGTTAGAATAAAGTGAGGGGAAAGGGAGGACTAGTATACTCACTGCTAATTCCTGTGAGGGCAAAATCTGAAAGAGACATATGTCACTTTAGCCAGAGCCAATAAGAGAGAATTTAGTACCATATGGCCAGCTAGAACTTTTTAACTGAGGAGAAATGGAGGATGGATACTGGAAGAGAGCTAGCAGTCAACCACATCAAAATATTTTTCAATAATTAAGTTAGGAAAACACATAAGGAACATCCCTAAACTGCTCCTTCAGGGATTTGAATGTCTACAACTTAGAATCCCTAAGTAAAGTTGGCCTTGCAATGAGTCTGTCAGTTGTCTGACTAACTCAACTATGATCAAGTTTGTTTTTTAATGACTAAATTGTGTAATGACTAAAGGTGGGATTTGATTTGTTGCCTCTGAATCTACCTATTAAAGGAATTCCATGACTGTATGGAAACTTGATTTACAAAATAGGAAACAGTTTTTAAAAAATCAAGGTGGTGTCCCACATCAAATCCATAAAAAAAAATGCTGCTTCACATCTTTGGAGAATATTTGCTTTCATGTTAAAACAGAACTAAGACCATCTTTGGGTTTGTGATAGAAAGGAGATACACACCTGAACTTGTCTATGAGCCTGGCTTGCTTTGTCTTGAGGTGGTTTCATCCCCCAAAGTTCTATAAAGTTCCAACATTTGCACCAAGCACACTAGCTCTTCCAATATCCACACTTACCTTTCAGATCGACTCACTCTCACTTCTTTTTATTGATTCTCCCATCACTAATTTAAAAGGCCTGGGGGGAAAATATGTATTTTGGAGTTAGGTGTGCATGCCCAGGATCAGATCCTGGCTCCTCTACCTCACCAGGTAGCTCTTGGGCATGTTATTTAAACACTTAAATCTTTGCTTCCCCTGCTGAAAATGGTACTAATATCAACCACCGGGCGGTGTTGTATGGATTAGAATACCTAATAATAGCTACTGGCCTTGGAATAAGTGTGTTTTATGGAGTTTGTATGCCTTGTATTTATTTGTATTATCTCCTGTGATCCTTTTAGTAACTCTCAGATTGCTCTTATTATCTCTACACCGAAGGAAGGGAAGCTCAGAGGTGAAACCACTGGCCCAAGGTCCTACAGTCTTAACTGTAGAGACAGGATTCAAATTCACATCCCACTAACTTCCCAGCCTGTATTTTACAACATAATGAATTACAAGCAGTACTTACATAGATCCTGGCACATGATATGTGCAGAGAAGATCTGGTTGTTTACATTGTTACCATAGCAGTAAAAAAAATCTAAACAAGGAGACAGAAGAAATAGAAACAAATTAGGTTCAGTGTCATTAGGCCCAATACCTAATTTGTCTGATTTACTTTAAGTGTGGAAACTCTTATTTATTTTCTGGTTCTCTTAAGATACTTACCAAACATTTTTAGAATAATGTCATTTCTCTTTATGATGCTGTAAAAGGCTTATTTAAAGACCCTATATGATCCTTTAAAGTTATGAACCACTCTACAGAACCCAGGAATTTTCATTTCTGTAACCTATTCACACGAAACTTCAAATAAACCAACTCGAAATGACTGTCCACGGGATTAATGCCTGGATCTTCAAATGGGCACCAGAAATAGAACCAGTATATGTACTGACATTCAGAATGTCCTTAACTTGGGCGCCTGGGTGGCTCAGTTGGTTAAGCGACTGCCTTCGGCTCAGGTCATGATACCGGGGTCCTGGGATCGAGTCCCGCGTCGGGCTCCCTGCTCTGCGGGGAGCCTGCTTCTCCGTCTCCCACTCCCCCTGCTTGTGTTCCCTCTCTTGCTGTGTCTCTCTCTGTCAAATAAATAAA